AGAGACTACCCCAACGGCAGGGACGTGGCATGGAGGTATGGGGCATGCGGCAGCCCGTGGCAACTGCAATTGCAACTAAAAATCGATATCCACCCTGCCACCCAGGCCAGGCCAGGCCTGCCTGTCTGCCCGCCTGCAGGTTGTCGATCCTGGAATGGAGTAATGTAATGTTTGTTTGCATTTCCAGTCCCCAGAGAGCGAGAGAGAGCGAATGACTGAGAGTCTGCTCTCAGTTGCAGTTTGCAATTGGAGTACAGGTAAGTCCTGAGAATATAGTGCTCCGCTGCCCCCGCTCTGAAACCACTGTTTTTTCTATCTTTTGTAGGTATGTTTTTGTAATGTGTAACCTCAACAACAATTAGAATTTCCGGCTGTAAACTCTGGGGCCCAGACCTCGGAGCAAGCGTTAGCCCAGAACCCCATGACATTTTGACCAAATTTGAATGTCAAACGCAAACGGTGAGACAGGGACGGATCTGAGCGAGAGAAATGGAGATACATAGGTACTGCATCCGCTCCTGTTAATGACAGTTGCATTCTGTGGGCCTCTGTGGGCCCCTGGCTGCCTGGTGCTCAATGAACCATTCATTCATTCTGTGTGTTTCTGTCTGTGTTGCACTACGAACATGGGCAACAACAATTAATATGGCCAGCGATGCGAATCTAATAATGTCAGTACAATAGACCCGCTTCAACCAGTCGTTCGTCTTTCTGTATTTTATGTAAGCCCAGGTCTGAACAAAAGCTTGACTTGGGCTGCGCTCTGGCAGCTGCCTCGTGTGATATGTTGCCTGTTCTAACGATACATCATTGTGAAGCCACGAGGTGTGTGTACCTTTAGGTGTGCCATAAATTAACACTAGATGTCCCAGTGGGCGGTTCTTTTGCCTCATAAATGCAGCAGTGCCAGCGAAAGGAGAAAACAATTAACCATTGCATGTAGGACGGACTCTCTCACCAGCCCTCTCTGGTTCTCTCCGGTGGTCAGAGGGTGCGTGAGATCGTCAGTGGGTGATAATCACCGCATGGGCATTGGGTTACAAATGAGGCGATCGTTTATCTAAATGGGTTACATGATCATGAAATGCGTTTAATGCAGACGAGAGGAGAGTGAAAACTACACAAATTTGGGTGTAAAAGGGAGGGGAATTGCAGAGGTCCCATTCAGATCCCATCTAAAGCTTCTTTTGGTTAGATTTTCGCTCACATTTCTCATCTGTGAGCCCTTCCTGCCACAACTCTCGCTCTTAAGTCCAATAAATCTTCAAAACAAATCTCTGGATAAGCTACAATAGCAGTTAAGTGTGGAAAAACATGCAAAAAATCAATGAACTTGATGTGCATTTCCCTTTGGAATCAAAATTTACAAAAAGTAATACAAATAAGGGAACATTTTTCTAATGGTGAGAAGATGTGCAGTCCACAAAAATGAAACCCGAATCCCGGACTCTAGAGTAAATTGCTGCCTATTTCCCAGGCGATGATAATCGAAATGGTAGTAGCTAAGGGTTGATCCAAAAAGCTACCCTCCGCAATGAGTAACATTAAAACTGCAATTGCACTAAAGGAGAAGCAACCCCCGGAATGAAGTAGAAGCAGAAAAACCCTTGGAACAATGACCCATCCCATCCCATACCCATCCTTCGCCGCCCTCCTTCGCCCCTTTTGTTGCCGTTTCTGCTGCCGCTGCTGCTTCTGCTTGATGGTGGCGCATTCTGGAATGACAAACAACAATAAAAATTCGATATCGAGTCGATCGATCAATAAGCAGTTACATACACACACACACACACACACACACACTAGACATCCCGCTCGCTCTCCATTGCGTGAAATTACAGACAAAGAGGCGACACATAATACCCGTAGAGAAGGAGACAGACAGATGGAGTGCGTCGTGCTCCCTAGATTTGGAGAGGTAGGAGTGCGAGAGCAGCAGCAGCTGCGCAGGCGCCACAGTTGTCGCTTGGATCAGACCAGAGTCCAGGGTTGTCATCCCATTCGGGAGTAGCTGTGGCAGCAGCAGCCTCCTGCATTTGGTGGTGGATTGAAAACAACCGAACCCCGAGTACAGTAGCGCACGCCATCAAATGGAGAGTTTATGCGGAGATAATGATTGGGATTTGAGCAAGAAGATACCTTCCGAAAATCCGCATTGCATAAAGTTCAAGATAATTACAATATAGCTAGTAGTCAAGGCTGAACTTGAGAGGAAAACCCTCAAATAATCACCAGAGTAAGCTTGAACTTCTCTTCATAGTTTCCCTGAACTACAGAGTTCTGGTAATCTCCAAACGCATAAACATTAGAGCCTCACGCACAATATCTCGTCCTCATTGCATTTCAGTTTCAAACATTTGTCACTGTCTCAAATATGGCCTGTGTGATGGCTCTAACTGTGTTTTCCATCCTTAAAAGGGGTGACATGCGTCGTTTGTCCAATTTGTTGCGCAATCATGATGGCAGGCCGCACAACGCCTGCCACTGCCTGGACTACGTGCCCCAAAAAGACCATGCAAGTCCATGTCCAAGTTCCAGGTCTTTTACTGGTAATTGGTTTGTCATTATAGCTTAAACAGGGACGGGGACGGAGACGGAGAGACAGAGAAAGCCATGGAACGAGAGAGGACATTGAACCCTAACTTTAAGGAGTAAGATTTTGATTCGAAGAAATGGTTTTTCAGCTGCCGATCTTGACACGTACTACGCTACGGGAAGGGAGAACGTGAAGGGAAACCATCCCTTTCTTTTACCTTTCACACCTTTCATTCCCAAACAATATTTTCTGGCTAATTTATGGCTTGGACCACAGCTGACGATAGGGAGTTCCATTCTAGAGTTCCTTTCTGATTTCTGGCAGCTCTGTAATTATAAGGGGTACGCAGATCTAAAGGATCATTTCCGATACACATATTCCCATGATTTAAATGAAAGATTTATGTGAAAACTTTATCTCATTCAATGGGGGGCTCCATAAACCATTTCCATGCCGAACAGTTGCATTTCTAATGCGATGAGGGTGCCTCCTTAAGCTTTTGTTCTCGTAGCCAATTACTAAACGTCACCAGGGGGAGTTCGTAAGAGGGGGAATGATGGTTCATTCTATAGAACTATCGACCCCACAAAAAGCACAAAATATTCAATGGATTCAATGATACTTTATCGCCAAACTTAATCTACACTTGAGGCAATGGGGGAATGGACTCTCGTGACATGTGGCAAGTGGCATGGGGAACGGAAGGGAGGAATGGCTGATGTTGCACAGAACCCAACGATGAGGGCAACGATGTTTCAATCAGTGCGCAGCATTTTTATGAAATTTCTATTGGAATATGATGTAATTTAATATTGATTTCAGAAAGGGTTAAATCATTTGTTGGCTGCTTGTAATTGCAGTGTGAAATACGGGAAGGAGGGGCTATAATTAATCCAATCAAGAAAACAGTCGAAGGAGCCTCCCTTTGAGGACCTCTCCGAGTATTCAGGATATACATATATGTATCATCTAAATGGCCTCTCCAGCATTCGAAAAGTATTCCGATTCGTTTACCCGCATTCCCTGAAATTGTGTTTTAGTGTTGTTGTAGAAATCTTAATCGAATTAACCACAGGGCCACCGAAATCTGTGTACACATTATTCATTTGATTTCCATTTGCTTGATTTGTTGCTATTGAAATGTAATTTTTCTCAATTAAAAGGAAAATATATGAAATCTAATGATGGGAAATACCAGAAATATATTGATTCTAAGGGGGGAGTGGAGCTTTAGGTGAAAGGTACCTACATTGCACAGCCATAAGTCTTTGGCTGATTTCTGATCAAATTTAGCAATCGCATATTGTTATTTAATCCTTTTTTTCATCCACAGACAGATGTCTGCTGAGTTTATATCCCCCTCTGTCTGCTCTAAATGCCTTGTTCGCGGGATTATCGTTAGAGAAGGAACAGAGATAGAGTGAGAGAGAGGGGTGGATATATGGGAGTGGGAAGCCGGGAGCATGTGTGCTGATTTCTGCACTGTTGTGGGATTTAAAACCGTATTAATTTTCAATAAGTGCAATGAGCTCTACGAATTGTTTGATAAATGGCACAGCGGGTTAATCCTGGGCTCATTGATGCGTATGGGAGTGTGGAATCGGGAGAAAAAAGGCTGAAGATCTCATCAAGCACGTGTTTGCCACGAAACTACAACGTGACAAGGCATATTGAGCCACAAATTTGTTAATCTACGAGTTCGAGGGAAAAGTGTAATGGTAGATCTATTAACTATTAATGGAATATACTCGTACCTTTACCGTAATTGAGATTTTGGCTTCCGATCATTAGTCTGGATGCCTCACGATCCTGGGAGAGTATCTGATCATGAGATCACAGCACACCCAACTCTGCCCACAAATAGCAGAGAAAACAAGTTTCATATAATGGAAAAAATATCCTTAATCCTTGATCCTTGATAAACACACTATGAAATTAGGGATTTTCTTCCAATCACAGGCAGTAAAATCAGTACAGAAAGCTAAAAGAGTTGACATTTGAACTCCGCGCCTCAGAGATGACCTGGGATCGATACCATTACATACTTGAATAAAAGACTGATATCGAATATTTTAGGTTCTATTTATTGCCGCCATAAGTGGCGCCATTTATTTTCCGTAGCAAAAGTAGGCAACATAATTTTTTTTTATTGAAATTCAGCCTTAGCCAAGACCGCCACCGCGGAGTTGATCATTATATAATTATTGAATGAATGAATAATCTCTGATCTCTCCTGATCTTCAAATTACAATTTCAACAAAATTCAGAATGTGCTCCCAAATGATCTCTCAGTAGTACGGTGTCTCTTCGTCCTCCAGGCAACTCCTCGATAGTTCATTTTCTACTGTTTCTTGTGTTTTACTTAGAAAGTGTGGCCATTAGCAATCCTGTGATGACCGAAAGATCGTTTGATTTTGAATGATTAATTAGTCTCTTCTTTAATTTATTTCTTTATTCTGAGGGAATGAGTGAGTATTACAGGAAATCATTGCGCTTCCAAAGTACATACTCGTAAAATCGATAGCTGGAAAAAACGTTTTCGTGCCTTATTGATAAGAAAACAATGCCCTGGGAAAGCTGAGCTTTCTTCACTTACGAAAATACCTTTCCTTTATGGAATTTTAATTGCACAGACGTCTTAAAAACTAATCTTAAGGGCATGTATGGCTCCATTCAACCTTTGTTGAACCTTAAACTTGAACCATAGACAGAGCTTATCAGAGAAATAACATACCAACTCCCATGGTACTTCCTATATAAGCACTCGGCTTGAGCTCAAGAAATCAATCGTTTCGCTGAAACCGTCCCAATGGTAAGTCAGGATCCGCTCGCACAACGACACTATATATCCCCTCCTTTCCTTTCGAAAATATAGAATATCCTGAGAAGTTTGCTTTTTCTTGCCCTGCACTATGCTGCCCATGCAGATCGGGAAGGAAGTGGCGCTAGGCAAATCGTTGACGAGACGGACACGGCTGGCGTAACATATCCATTCTATTGTGCCTTCGATCCTTTCCTGCCGGGATGCCCACTGGCTCCTACAACAGCAAAGACAACTCCTGAACCGACAACACCGAAAACAACAACCGTGGAGACTACGACAGTAAAGACGACTCCCATGCCGACAACTCCGAAAACAACTACAGTAAAGACTACCACAGTGAAGACGACTCCAGAGCCGACAACACCTAAAACAACAACCGTGGAGAGTACAACGGTAAAGACGACTCCTGAACCGACAACGCCGAAAACAACAACCGTGGAGACTACAACAGTAAAGACGACTCCTGAGCCAACAACTCCGAAAACAACTACAGTAAAGACTACCACAGTGAAGACGACTCCAGAGCCGACAACTCCGAAAACAACGACCGTGGAGACTACAACAGTGAATACGACTCCTGAGCCGACAACTCCGAAAACAACAACCGTGGAGACTACAACAGTGAAGACGACTCCAGAGCCGACAACTCCGAAAACAACGACCGTGGAGACTACAACAGTGAATACGACTCCTAAGCCTATAACTCCGAAAACAACTACAGTAAAGACTACCACAGTGAAGACGACTCCAGAGCCGACAACTCCGAAAACAACAACCGTGGAGACTACAACGGTAAAGACGACATCTGAACCGACAACTCCGAAAACAACTACAGTGAAGACTACGACAGTACAGACGACTCCTGAACCGACAACTCCGAAAACAACGACCGTGGAGACTACAACAGTGAATACGACTCCTGAGCCGACAACTCCGAAAACAACGACCGTGGAGACTACAACAGTGAATACGACTCCTGAGCCGACAACTCCGAAAACGACAACCGTTAAGACTACAACAGTAAAGACGACTCCAGAGCCTACAACTCCGAAAACAACAACCGTGGAGACTACAACAGTAAAGACGACTCCTGAGCCTACAACTCCGAAAACAACTACAGTAAAGACTACCACAGTGAAGACGACTCCAGAGCCTACAACTCCGAAAACAACAACGGTGAAGACTACGACAGTAAAGACGACTCCTGAACCGACAACTCCGAAAACGACAACCGTTAAGACTACAACAGTAAAGACGACTCCAGAGCCTACAACTCCGAAAACAACAACCGTGGAGACTACAACAGTGAATACGACTCCTGAGCCGACAACTCCGAAAACAACTTCAGTAAAGACTACCACAGTGAAGACGACTCCAGAGCCGACAACACCTAAAACAACAACCGTGGAGAGTACAACGGTAAAGACGACTCCTGAACCGACAACTCCGAAAACGACAACCGTTAAGACTACAACAGTAAAGACGACTCCAGAGCCTACAACTCCGAAAACAACTACAGTGAAGACTACGACAGTAAAGACGACTCCTGAACCGACAACTCCGAAAACAACAACCGTTAAGACTACAACAGTAAAGACGACTCCAGAGCCTACAACTCCGAAAACAACTACGGTGAAGACTACGACAGTAAAGACGACTCCTGAACCGACAACTCCGAAAACGACAACTGTTAAGACTACAACAGTGAAGACGACTCCAGAGCCGACAACACCTAAAACAACAACCGTGGAAAGTACAACGGTAAAGACGACTCCTGAACCGACAACGCCGAAAACAACAACCGTGGAGACTACAACAGTAAAGACGACTCCTGAGCCTACAACTCCGAAAACAACTACAGTAAAGACTACCACAGTGAAGACGACTCCAGAGCCAACAACTCCGACAACAACTACAGTGAAGACTACCACAGTGAAGACGACTCCAGAGCCGACAACACCTAAAACAACAACCGTGGAAAGTACAACGGTAAAGACGACTCCTGAACCGACAACTCCGAAAACGACAACCGTTAAGACTACAACAGTAAAGACGACTCCTGAACCGACAACTCCGAAAACAACGACCGTGGAGACTACAACAGTGAATACGACTCCTGAGCCGACAACTCCGAAAACAACGACCGTGGAGACTACAACAGTGAATACGACTCCTGAGCCTACAACTCCGAAAACAACTACAGTAAAGACTACCACAGTGAAGACGACTCCAGAGCCGACAACTCCGAAAACAACAACCGTGGAGAGTACAACGGTAAAGACGACTCCTGAGCCTACAACTCCGAAAACAACTACAGTAAGGACTACCACAGTGAAGACGACTCCAGAGCCGACAACACCTAAAACAACAACCGTGGAAAGTACAACGGTAAAGACGACTCCTGAGCCGACAACTCCGAAAACAACGACCGTGGAGACTACAACAGTGAATACGACTCCTGAGCCGACAACTCCGAAAACAACGACCGTGGAGACTACAACAGTGAATACGACTCCTGAGCCTACAACTCCGAAAACAACTACAGTAAAGACTACCACAGTGAAGACGACTCCAGAGCCGACAACTCCGAAAACAACAACCGTGGAGAGTACAACGGTAAAGACGACTCCTAAGCCTATAACTCCGAAAACAACTACAGTAAAGACTACCACAGTGAAGACGACTCCAGAGCCGACAACTCCGAAAACAACAACCGTGGAGACTACAACGGTAAAGACGACATCTGAACCGACAACTCCGAAAACAACTACAGTGAAGACTACCACAGTGAAGACGACTCCAGAGCCGACAACTCCGAAAACAACAACCGTGGAGACTACAACGGTAAAGACGACATCTGAACCGACAACTCCGAAAACAACTACAGTGAAGACTACCACAGTGAAGACGACTCCAGAGCCGACAACTCCGAAAACAACAACCGTGGAGACTACAACGGTAAAGACGACATCTGAACCGACAACTCCGAAAACAACTACAGTGAAGACTACGACAGTACAGACGACTCCTGAACCGACAACGCCGAAAACAACAACCGTGGAGACTACAACAGTAAAGACGACTCCAGAGCCGACAACTCCGAAAACAACAACCGTGGAGACTACAACGGTAAAGACGACATCTGAACCGACAACTCCGAAAACAACTACAGTGAAGACTACCACAGTGAAGACGACTCCAGAGCCGACAACTCCGAAAACAACAACCGTGGAGACTACAACGGTAAAGACGACATCTGAACCGACAACTCCGAAAACAACTACAGTGAAGACTACGACAGTACAGACGACTCCTGAACCGACAACTCCGAAAACAACGACCGTGGAGACTACAACAGTGAATACGACTCCTGAGCCGACAACTCCGAAAACAACGACCGTGGAGACTACAACAGTAAATACGACTCCTGAGCCGACAACTCCGAAAACAACAACCGTCGAGAGTACAACGGTAAAGACGACTCCTGAACCGACAACGCCGAAAACAACAACCGTGGAGACTACAACAGTAAAATCAACTCCTGAGCCTACAACTCCGAAAACAACTACAGTAAAGACTACCACAGTGAAGACGACTCCAGAGCCTACAACTCCGAAAACAACAACGGTGAAGACTACAACAGTAAAGACGACTCCTGAACCGACAACTCCGAAAACGACAACCGTTAAGACTACAACAGTAAAGACGACTCCAGAGCCTACAACTCCGAAAACAACAACCGTGGAGACTACAACAGTGAATACGACTCCTGAGCCGACAACTCCGAAAACAACTACAGTAAAGACTACCACAGTGAAGACGACTCCAGAGCCGACAACACCTAAAACAACAACCGTGGAGAGTACAACGGTAAAGACGACTCCTGAACCGACAACTCCGAAAACGACAACCGTTAAGACTACAACAGTAAAGACGACTCCAGAGCCTACAACTCCGAAAACAACAACCGTGGAGACTACAACAGTAAAGACGACTCCTGAGCCTACAACTCCGAAAACAACTACAGTAAAGACTACCACAGTGAAGACGACTCCAGAGCCTACAACTCCGAAAACAACAACGGTGAAGACTACGACAGTAAAGACGACTCCTGAACCGACAACTCCGAAAACGACAACCGTTAAGACTACAACAGTAAAGACGACTCCAGAGCCTACAACTCCGAAAACAACAACCGTGGAGACTACAACAGTGAATACGACTCCTGAGCCGACAACTCCGAAAACAACTTCAGTAAAGACTACCACAGTGAAGACGACTCCAGAGCCGACAACACCTAAAACAACAACCGTGGAGAGTACAACGGTAAAGACGACTCCTGAACCGACAACTCCGAAAACGACAACCGTTAAGACTACAACAGTAAAGACGACTCCAGAGCCTACAACTCCGAAAACAACTACAGTGAAGACTACGACAGTAAAGACGACTCCTGAACCGACAACTCCGAAAACAACAACCGTTAAGACTACAACAGTAAAGACGACTCCAGAGCCTACAACTCCGAAAACAACTACGGTGAAGACTACGACAGTAAAGACGACTCCTGAACCGACAACTCCGAAAACGACAACTGTTAAGACTACAACAGTAAAGACGACTCCAGAGCCTACAACTCCGAAAACAACTACGGTGAAGACGACGACAGTAAAGACGACTGCAGAGCCGACAACTCCCAAGACAACCACCGTTAAGACTACAACAGTAAAGATGACTCCAGAGCCGACAACTCCGAAAACAACTACAGTGAAGACTACGACAGTAAAGACGACTCCTAAACCGACAACTCCGAAAACGACAACCGTTAAGACAACAACAGTAAAGACGACTCCAGAGCCGACAACTCCGAAAACAAGTACAGTGAAGACTACAACAGCAAAGACAACTCCCAAGCCGACAACTCCAAAAACAACTACAGTGAAGACTACAACAGTAAAGATAACTCCTAAGCCAACAACTCCGAAAACAACTACAGTGAAGACTACAACAGTAAAGACAACTCCCAAGCCGACAACTCCGAAAACAACTACAGTGAAGACTACAACAGTAAAGACAACTCCCAAGCCGACAACTCCAAAAACAACTACAGTGAAGACCACAACAGTAAAGACAACTCCTAAGCCGACAACTCCGAAAACAACTACTGTGAAGACTACAACAGTAAAGACAACTCCTAAGCCGACAACTCCAAAAACAACTACAGTGAAGACTACAACAGTAAAGACAACTCCCATGCCGACAACTCCGAAAACAACTACAGTGAAGACTACAACGGTAAAGACAACTCCTAAGCCAACAACTCCGAAAACAACTACAGTGAAGACTACAACAGTAAAGACAACTCCTAAGCCGACAACTCCGAAAACAACTACAGTGAAGACTACAACAGTAAAGACAACTCCCAAGCCGACAACTCCGAAAACAACTACAGTGAAGACTACAACAGTAAAGACAACTCCCATGCCGACAACTCCGAAAACAACCACTGTGAAGACTACAACAGTAAAGACAACTCCTAAGCCAACAACTCCGAAAACAACTACAGTGAAGACTACAACAGTAAAGACAACTCCCAAGCCGACAACTCCAAAAACAACTACAGTGAAGACCACAACAGTAAAGACAACTCCTAAGCCGACAACTCCGAAAACAACTACTGTGAAGACTACAACAGTAAAGACAACTCCTAAGCCGACAACTCCAAAAACAACTACAGTGAAGACTACAACAGTAAAGACAACTCCCATGCCGACAACTCCGAAAACAACTACAGTGAAGACTACAACAGTAAAGACAACTCCTAAGCCAACAACTCCGAAAACAACTACAGTGAAGACCACAACAGTAAAGACAACTCCTAAGCCGACAACTCCAAAAACAACTACAGTGAAGACTACAACAGTAAAGACAACTCCGAAAACAACTACAGTGAAGACTACAACAGTAAAGACAACTCCTAAGCCAACAACTCCGAAAACAACTACAGTGAAGACTACAACAGTAAAGACAACTCCTAAGCCAACAACTCCGAAAACAACTACAGTGAAGACTACAACAGTAAAGACAACTCCTAAGCCGACAACTCCGAAAACAACTACAGTGAAGACTACAACAGTAAAGACAACTCCCAAGCCAACAACTCCAAAAACAACTACAGTGAAGACCACAACAGTAAAGACAACTCCTAAGCCGACAACTCCGAAATCAACTACAGTGAAGACTACAACAGTAAAGACAACTCCCAAGCCGACAACTCCGAAAACAACTACAGTGAAGACTACAACAGTAAAGACAACTCCCAAGCCGACAACTACGAAAACAACTACAGTGAAGACCACAACAGTAAAGACAACTCCTAAGCCGACAACTCCGAAAACAACTACTGTGAAGACTACAACAGTAAAGACAACTCCTAAGCCAACAACTCCGAAATCAACTACAGTGAAGACTACACCAGTAAAGACAACTCCCAAGCCGACAACTCCGAAAACAACTACAGTGAAGACTACAACAGTAAAGACAACTCCCAAGCCGACAACTCCGAAATCAACTACAGTGAAGACCACAACAGTAAAGACAACTCCTAAGCCGACAACTCAGAAAACAACTACAGTGAAGACTACAACAATAGAGACAACACCGAAAACAACAACCGAAAAAACAATGCCGACGACAACATCTGGGCGCCCCACAGATTCGACAACGTTACGACCAACCACGAGACCATCAACTTCTACTACTCCTAGGGGCCAACATGACATCCATAAGCACCATCACGTTCATTATCATGATTCGAATGATCCTGGCTGGCCGCTCCTTCCGCTGCCAGCGCTTCCTCCTCTGCCAGAACTTCCTCCTCTCCCAGCGCTTCCTGTTCCACCATTTGCGCTGCCTCTGCCTCTACCATTTCCTCTTCCGCTTCCATTGCCGCTATTGCCAAAGGTAAACTTAACCAAAGTTGAATTGCCACAGGATTCATTACCAGAGGTTTCATTACCAGAGGTTTCATTGCCAGAAGTTTCATTACCCTCTTTTCCTTCTTTGCCACAATTGCCGAATCCCTTTGGTGGATTTCCAAGCTTTTTTTGGAGATCGAAGCCAAATGAAAACTAAGCGAAAGATATCTGTAATCTACCTATGGATGTGAATATGTTTATTCTGGATTTCTCTGTTCGAATCACGCTCTGACCTTTTTCCAAGAACAAACACAACACATTCATCATTTCCCGCATTGCAATTTCGCAAAGTTCGTGCTGGGGGAAACTCAACTCAAAACTTTGGCTGATGCAATGCCCTGTAGAAATTACATCAGCAAATAAACAGAAACCTCAGGAAAAAAACATCGGAACTTTCAACTCCAGAAGTCAACACCCCCTTGTGTTTGTTTGTTTGTTGTTTTCGCAAAGTTATAACATTATTTGTAGAGTTTTTTTTAAGGGAATTGCACTAAAAACAGTGGACAGTGGCAGTGTCGGCAGTGTCAGAGGGGTTTCCAATGCTGAAACGGATCTGTTTATTATTATTATTATTTTATATTCTCATAGATTTGATTGACTTTTGTTCGCTCATTAGGCAATCATCAATCATAGTTAATCAAATTTATGACGCTATTTGGTGTTAGAATGGTTTATGACTTTGGAGAGTCTCTCGAAAGTTTAAAGAACTTTAAATTTCTAGAGATACGAGCCCTAAGCTTCAGTGTTCAGCTCTCCCCAGACGATGGCTGATAAATTATGAATGCCCTGGCACTGGGGCTCGTGACTCAAACAGGTGCAGAGGCAACTCTATAGACTGGAGACTAGACTGGAGTGGAGTGTGTATGAGCCTCCTCCCCTGAACCGACATGGTCGTGAAATGTTTCCTACAAAAGCACTACACAAATGTTTAATTTATTCAAGACATTTCGTGTGACGACTGGAAGGCACTGCTGAACCGAAACAATAAATCCAAGTAAATGCATAAAAAATAAGTATAATTAAGGAAAAAAGCATTACCCAAAATGAAAGGTAACTGGTTCTGAACACGATATATATACTTGTATATTCTAGACATAAGTTAAGCCAACTTTCAATTCCGTTTCTGTTTAGAGGTTCGAGAAGCGGATATTGTGAGAAAGATACTATTACTATTGCTATTCTGTGATCATGTTATATGCATAAGCAAATGAGATAATCAGGGTGATTACTAGGGATTTTAATATTCAGATTCATGCTGGAACCACTAGACTAGACCCCTACAATTATCCACCAGCTGCTACTGCTGCCTCTAAATGAACCTCTACCACATCCCATGATAATGGTGATATAATAAACAGAGGGAGATCTCTCAGGCATCGGGGCTCATTGTGCTCTAAAAAGATCATTGGATCTCGGATCATTGGTTCCATTGTGTGGATTTACTTGCGGAAATATCAACATCACAGACAGCTCAAGGAATTGGTTCGGTTCGGCTTGGCTCGGTTTGGGTTCCTACTAGATGTAAATGTCACAACGATCTATAGAGATCTGTTGATCTGCTTAACATTTGAATGACTTTGGAAGTGAATGGAAGTTTAGTTCTTCCATCAATACAAAAACCCTCAACAAGGTTCTCTTTTTTAATATCACAAAAGGTTTTATTCAGGTTTTGAGTCTTTAAGTTTAAGTACAAATTAGAGTTTTTATACATATAAGTAGATTATATTAGACTTTTAGACAAAACTTAGGGACTACGAGTAGCAACAAAAAAAAACGTTTAGAAAAGACTTAGGGGCTACGAGTAGCAAAAAAAAATACATGGCAAGCCTCCACTACACTCTACACCCTCTTTTTCTCTCTCTACTTCTCTCATCTGAGAAAAGTCAACAGAACGATGGAAAGCAGACTCCAGCCTACAATATTAGAGGCTCCACTCGATCGAGGATCTATTTCTTCAGCGGGTAACTGCGCCAAGGCCACCAATTGCTGATCATCGAGCGTCGGCCGGAAGCTCCAGTCGATCTCATTCGTCTTGCAGATCTGGGCAAATACTCGCGCTGAAATCTTGGGCGTACGCGTGCGCTTCGGCGATGTAAAATCTACATGATAGAGCCCGAACTTCTCCGTAAAGCCAGCCTTCCACTCGTAGCTGTCCATCAGGCTCCAGGCAATGTAGCCACTAATGTTAACACCATCCTCGATGGCATTTAGAATGGCATCTAGATACGAATTGTAGTAGTCTACACGGGCATAATCATCCAAGCCCCCACGATCGCTCACGCCATTCTCAGTGACAATTATTTCGGGTGCATTGTACTCGCGGTGAATCCACTTGAGCAGGTTGTACATGCCCTTGGGATACGCCTAGAAAGATAAATAGAAATGGAAGCCACATGTTAGTAGAGTTCGTTGAACCACCTGTGTCAGAGCCAACCCCCCATTTGATTCCTTAGACCATAATTCAAACTGCAAATGGGATAAGTCACCCTCGAGCCTCAAGCCGCAAACCTCACTTCTCCCCCAGTTAATTACCTCATCCCCAGACCCAGCTGCCACAAGGGGGTTCTCATCTCCAGAGAGAACAATCAATTTGCTCAACTAATCCACAAAAAATTACTTTTCTAAGTTTAGAGAAGTTTAACGACTGATAGATACTTACTAAGGCTTGGGTTTTACGGTTCTAAGAAGTATATTATCCTAATGAAACTTGGAGTTTAGGTGGAAATAAGTATGATAAATTAATCTTCTAATTGTAGTGTATCTTCATAAGTATCCAGTCGTAAGTAAAGCTAGAATTTAGTTTATAATATTGTACAAATTGTAATTTGGAAAGAATTACTATAAATAAATTGATCTATGAAGTTTAAGAGCTTTATCTTTGAAAATGTGAAAGACACGGGCAGTTATTCTGGCTTCAATTCGAATGAAAGTTCCAATTTAGGTAGAAATCCTTCTATCAGATTAGAGGCCTAAACGAACACATGAACATATTTATCTATGTACATAGATTCGGTAAGGAATGCCTTTAGTAATGAACTAAAACTTACCTTTAGCCAAACAGAACCCGAACCGGGCCAATCGACACCCTCCTGACTCTCCACCACGCCCATGTCATGATTGAACGAAGGCACTGGGAACTTTCCTGTGTTATTGTGACCATTACTCGTGACGAGATTACTCGTGTAGGAGTTAATGCCGAAGAAGTCGGATGTACCGCGGATCCGGCGGATTTCCTCTTGCGTGAATTCTGGCAGGCGGGAGCGGACACCGAAGCCCTGCTCTTTGCTGAGATTGCGGATGCGTTCGATCATCACTTTCGGATAGTTTCCATGCTTCGAGAAGATGGGGTGACCGAACCAACCCACATAGAACTGCATGGCACGCTCGGAGGCCTCGCGATCCTCGGCGGAATCGGCATTCTTTGGCTCTGGCCACGAAGTGTCCAGGGTGATGCCAATGCGTCCCTTCTGCCGCTGCTGGAAGAGATCCCGGTACATGTGCACTACCTCCGCGTGGGCCTTGAGCAGATTGTGACCACACAGGTAGGCGGGAATCCCCGGATAATTGAACGATGGTGCCATGTAATCCGCACCATAGCCGTGCTCACATACGTGCCAGGGCTCATTGATGGTGGTCCACATCTTCACTCGATCCCCATACATCTCCATCACCAGTCGGGCGTAGTCCTTGAACAGGGGAATGATCTCCGGATTGGTCCATCCACCCAGCTCCTGCAGCCGCTGCGGCAGCTCCCAGTGATAGATCGTCACCATGGGAGTGATGTTGTACCGCAGGAGCTCATCTATCAAATTGGAGTAGTACTTGATGCCGGCGGTGCTCACGTGATTCATATATCCGCCAGGCATTATTCGTGGCCATGACAACGAGAAACGGTACGTCCCCACATGGAGTTCTTTGGCCATTTGGACATCGCGGCGCCACTGCAAAACAAGAGAGCAACGAAAATTGGTCAGAAATTTGGAAACCAGTTGGAAAGCAGTGAGACATTCCATCGTTGCGGCGGCCTCCGGTTCTCGGGGGGCTATGACTTTGGACATGGCTTCGGGCTAATTGTCGTATGACTTTGGACATTGAGAACGATTCGGGGGCAGATACTTCTAGTTATAGACTGTAATGCGATCGTTGGGAAGGAAGGGGCGATTGGCGTTGTATGGTTGTTCCAACATTTGATTCATTTATCAAGCCGTCTGACAACAATACTTGTACTCGTACTCGTATTCGTATGAATAACTAGATGGACAACCACCTGCCACTGACACTGCCACATGCTGCCACATTCAGGGGCTGCCTAACACCTGTAGTTCGTAGTTGAGGCTGTCTCCAAGTCTCTCTATTGATTGGCATTAGGTGGCGAATTATGACACAATTAATGTACGAGTATACGTACAAATACTCCAACACATGCTAATCGATAAATTATATCTAAATTATGGCAAATATTTCAATGCAAATTCCTTTAAAATAAGTTCTTGGGGGAGGGAGAGAAAAGAGAAGCAACTACAGAAGGATAGCAACTAAATTAGATGTAGATTTAGATAAATTTAACTATGAGATATCGATATATAAGCACTTCTTCTACTAGAAGATAAACTAAACATTTGCCAGCTTAAACTTTGATAAAGATAACTTAAACATCGATTGAGAACAATGTTTTCCATAAAAGGAAAGCACCTAGAAGATCTATTCTCTAAGCATTTAACGTTCCTTCAAGCTTAAAGGGGGCTACAGACTTTTTAACATCTTAAATATCAACAAATAGGAGAAAGAAAGATCTGACTCTATAGACACAAAACCTTATCTTGAGACGTATCTTAATCGACATTATAAAAATCTTTATCTTGAAAATGGGTCAGCTGTGCAGCCATTGAAGCCTTTTTTGCATAGATAACAAACAGCTCTCAAAGGTCATACTACCGAAGAACAGATCTACTCACAGCAGGTTATTCCAGATTTATATGCAAAGTATCCACAGTAAATACTAATACAAATAAAAAGATATTCAACTAATCTGAATCTGAATGGAATCTACGGCAGTACCCGAGTTCCGTTTAGCATTTAGTCACCGGCACACCCTTAAAGTCTGCCCTTTGGCAGTGCCAGATCATTAATTAATTAATAAATTATAAATAAATGAAGAGCGATTAATCATGGCGTTAAAGCCTAGGCGCTGAAAGCGACAGATGGTAGACAAGTTGATCATGTCACCTGTGGAGGCATGGCATCTACTACCCGTAGAAGTGGTTATCAAACAGGTGGTGCTGCTGGCACCAACTATGATCATTCATGATTTATAGAAGTCTCTGCTTGAAGATTTGTGGCCTGGACTATGCAAATTAGTTTTGTAATTGGAGGCTACTATGAGTGCCGTGCCAGTGGTGGCATCGCATGTCCACACTTGTACGCATTACCCCAGTACCCCTGCTCGTACTCTTAATCGTATTCGCATTCGCGTATCAATATATTGTATGGCTACTTAATATGCTTAATATTTATACTGTAATTGCTTCAAGTCATGCCATTAAACATAATTGCCAAATGATCTTGGCTTTAAAAGTTATTGGGGGCAGAGGCTAGAGATCGAAGAAGACCTCTGGTAGCGTTCTTAAACTTCAGTCAGAGAAGGATCTATTGAAGAGATAAATATCTAATAGATTGATGTGTTCGTTCTCCAATCCTAAGAAGTAATCAAGTTTTAAGCTTCTGGATCTGTTAGTGATCATATTTCTGTTTGAAATAAAGCTATCATAGATCTCTGATTACTGATCTTTTAATGAAGTCACTTTAGGACTTGGCTTTGACGAGATCCTTTCACTTCAAGGTTAGGACTATTCCGTACCCTTAAATGAGAGAAGACTCTCTTTTAAATCTTTCTGTTCATAGATTCCCGGGGAGATTGAGAAACTCGCAAGTAATTATCCATAAATCCTAACATCGGAACCGACATCAAAGTGCATCGACTGCAATGTGGTCATATATTTTCCACGCGATTACCTCAGCGGTTTGCACCGTCTGTCTGCCTGGCTGCTTGTTTACTCAAAAGATCTTGAACTCTTTGCATAACTTCCACTCAAATGGTGATTCCACTCGATTGGGGATTGGGTCTGCTGTCTGCTGTCTGCTTACCTGATGATAGCTATCCGCAGTGATATCAGCATTCGAACCATCGACTATCTTCTCGGGATGTGTGTGGGTGAGAAAGTCCCAGATGGATTCACCCTTATCGTCCGCATTCCATCCTCCTTCGATCTGATACGAGGAGGAGCCAACGCCCCAGAGAAAGTCATTGGGGAAGCGTCGATTGTTGCTCACTGGACTCCCCAGACATCTGCAGAAAAAAAACGATATGCCAAAGTGTTAATCAATTTTATATTGTTTGATTATCTTCTGCCCCTCGCGAATCTCCCGCTAATCAAATGACATTCAAAACGTTGACAAATATTACGACAATTTTTGTCAACTTTTTGGAGTTTGTTTGAATTTATACGTATGATCTAGTGATATCTACAACAATTACTGATCGATCGATCTGGCCAAGGTCTTCCCCAAATTAATCCAATTTCGGGGCTTTCTTTGGGCCAAGTTTTTGGGGAGTTTTGGCAGCTCAAGGCACTCCAAATGCTGTTTTTGTCTGGTAGCTGTTTTTGTCGCTTGTTTCTTATTTCATGTCTGTTATTTCACGCGTTTCTATAGCTGTTTTTGTCGTTAGTTTTCTCTGGTTTTACGTGCGCTTTGTGTCGTTGGGTTGTTTCGTATTTATTTAAATTAATGTCAAAGTATTTTTAGAATGATTTTGGTTATGAAGTCTTTTAAATTTAACTACTGTTTTTATTGTTTCTTAAAATGTTGCGCGTTTCTTGAGTTGCTTTTGTCGCTAGTCTTTGGCTAATTTTTTAAGTGTTTCCTTTGCGACTTTTATCGCTTGTTTTCTTTTCGTTTTTCTTTGATTTTGTTCATAGTTTTCCACCATTTTAATGCACACTTACGAGGCAATTAACACAACTGCAGGCAACAAAATTTTAAACATTTTTCTTATATCCTTAGACACGAAACTAGGTTTTTTTTTTATTGAACGAAAACTTTGGGCGTTTTAGGCGGCCTTAAACTTTTTCGTTCCGTTTCAAACTTTTCGCGCGACTTGTGCGAGTTTTTTCGCGAGCGTTTTGAGCCCGATCACAAAACGTTAACGTTGGCAAATGAACGCTGGTCGCTTTAAGTCCTAGCGTTATAAAGCGTACGGCTGCGGAGCGGTTTCGAGGCCTCAGCAGCAGCAGCAGCGGCGGCGGCGGCAGCGGCTGGCTGTCCGAGTCGCGGCGTTAACGTCAGCGTGCGTACCAGTCATAGACGTGTTCTTACTCTCCCACTCTCCATCTTTCCCTCTTTCTATTCCTATCTCTTGGAGAGGCTTAGCAGGTGTTGGCATCAGGGTGCATTTCGGGTGGGGTGAGGAATGCAAATGCACACAATTTCAGACCTTCATATTCCTTGGGATCGTCATAAATAGTACCCATAGAACATCTACATTAAATCTGTAATGATTTTCAATTACTAAGTAATGATAAATACCCCACCTACTTCTTTATTTGTATTTGATCTTCATTGATAACCAATTATGAGACCGATATGCGTGAGGATGCAGCTGATATTTTATCGTTTAGAGCACTCGTTGTCGAAGCCTTACCTTATCTGTTATTCACCTTGGTGTTGTTAAGATCTCTGTTTTGTTTTTTTGGCTTTTACCGGTTAAGTATGAACTTATGACAGATGGAACTTTTTGCCGCGAGAAGAATTCCCCTTCTTATGACGCGCACCTATATACGAGTACATACGAGTATATCACGCATTGGGAATCATGCCTTGGCAAAAATTATTCAAATTTGTAGCAATCAACCGCTGGATAATTATAAATTCCAATCCCAATACCAATTGTACCCAATGAACCCTAAAATATGGCCACAAAGGGCACGATTAGGCCGTAAACAAGTCGAAAATCGCTTTTATTTATAAGTATAAGGGCGGTACTATTCCACTGTTACGAGCACATACTTTCTTTCAAGAGTCTATTCAATTAAATTTCTACAATCGATGTCTGTTTAAATACAAGTGGAAGTACAAACAACAAGATACGCAAGGCGACTGTCTTTCCCAGAACAATGATAAGGAGAGAGTTCCTACAAGGGGAAGGAAGCAAAGAAGCGATAGAAATCATATAGTATAATTAGATCGAAAATAACAGATAGCAAACTTTCCAGTTATAAACGTCAGTTACACGAAAAAACTTTGATTGGATCTGCCATCAGAATCGAAAGCCACCAAAACCAAAAACTCGTTCGGATCTTGGGGAATGCCCTCAAAAAAAATAGAACAATGACTGTTTTGCCTTACAATAACCATTTTTCATATCCGCAATCGTTTTATACGACCCGAAACCCCGGATCCAGTTCAACGTTTATGATATTTTAAGCCAAATATGTGCTAAACGAAAGAACGCGGGCTGAAATGATCCGATGCGAATGGAACTGAAAGTCGTATATACTATATACGCAATACGTTCCAGCGTTACGAGGGAGTGTCACCATACCAGGTGTTCAGGTGGTACTGCTGCTCCTAAGACGATCAGAACTGGACCGCGCTGAAAGCAATACATAAAATTACCACAGCAATTTACACATTTTACGATTAAAAATACAAATTTACAGACGGAAATGCTTTGGAAAATAATTAAAACTCTCCAAGATAGACACATAGACGTTCTCATATTATCTTTCACTTCATTTACATGATTCATTTTTCGAGCAGAACCAAGTTTCGGTGTTTTCTAGCAGCACGATGAAACGCATTGAACCGGTTTTGGCTCATAATCATTAATTATTTTTGTGTGGTTTGATTTTTGCATTTCTCGCTCACGTGGACTGGAGTGGGTCAATTGTGTGAATCACTGGCAGGCTTCAAGTGTAAAAATCCCCAAGATGTTGTGGGGGCACTTTGAATACGCATCAACGCATCGCATCGGTCTGGAAACCGAAACCCGACCAAAAACCCAGGGAAAAGAAAAACCCCCGCAAGGAAACTGGTCTTTAAAACATTATGACTATTTCCGTTCTTGATTTATTTGCTTTTGCGGTCGGAGGAATATTTGTAATTATTCCATAGGCTGCCATATGGAGAATTGCACCTTTTCTGGTATTCATTTGAATTTGGCGCCCTTTTTTTAGTTGGTTCAGATATAGCAAATACTGTTTAGGTATTTTTATGTTTTCCTGATCTTTTGCTTCTATAAAAAAAAAGGTTAAGTTTGTAACTTTTTTTAAAATTTAAATTTAGTTTTAAATCTCAATGTAGTTGCCACGCTGCAAAATTAATGGCACAGTGGCGCTACGCTGCACTTGGTAAATTTTCCAAATGCACTTTACAAATTTCTGACAAAAGCTGAAATGTATGAAAGTACTTTGTATATTTTACATTTTACGCAGAACGAATTTTTTACATATTCGTTTTTGTAAACTTTTTGCCAGTTCAGTTGGGATATCCTCTCTTCGTGGAGGGACTTTTCCTCGCCATAATGTCCTTTTTCAGCTCAACGTGTTATTTGTTTGACCTTTTTCGGTAAATCCTTTTTTTACGCAAAATGCAATAAAAGCAAGTATTTAAATGAAACCAGTCAATTAGAAAATAGGTTTATTTATTGGGTAAAATTATGTGGGCATGGCTAAATGTTCTATATGGCTAGTAAGATTCGACGGAATATCAAAAACGAGGAATATGTACGATGGAACAGGAATTCGTCAGTACATTTATGGTATATTTCTACAAGGAGGCAGTATATTTCGGTATATTTCTGTGGGTCGGTAGTTCTTGTAATTTTATTTGTTTTTGATTAAACCTTTAATTTATAATTTTATACATTTAACGAATAAAATTATACGATCAGTGGTGAGGGTTCTAGGTAGCTGGAAATTCTAAGCCGAATAGGAAAATCGCAATCATATGTGATTCAAGAAGAAGAAGAACATCAACAAATATTTGGGTGTAGGGGGCAACACGTGCGCCTCCTTTTTCGACGATTTATTGAATAAAAAACAGCTAAAACAATGGAATTATTCACAGTTAATCGGTGAGTTATATGGCACACACAACAAACTGTGATATTAACCCAAAAAACCGCAGATATACAGAGGATCTAAGGACTCGCAAAGACAAGGAACAAAAGACATCAAATGAAGATGAAATTCTGCAAAAACTGCTCCAAAAGGCAGCCAAACGGAAGAGGAAACATGAGAAAGCTGAGACCAGAAAGCAGGAGGAAGCGCCTCCCGAGGAGAAACCACAAGTGGAGGACACAAAAGTAGACGAAGAAGAGCCGGCGGCAAAAGAGACTCGAAAAGAAGAAGCCACAGCAGTGGAGGATCCAACTAATTCACAAGACTTCAAAATACTTGGCGACACTGACTCTGCCATGCGCAAGAAAGTGACAGAGGTGCTGCCCCCCTGGCTGGCATATCCCACGATCATCGAAGGGGGCAGCCTCCTGCCAGACGACGACTTGGAGGCTGGCAAAGACGAAGCTTCCATCGAGAATCTAAGCTACCTGAAGGATCACACACGACAGGCCCTCAAGCAGATGAAGATCAAGCGCCTGTTCCCCGTGCAGCGGACCGTCATACCATGGATCCTGGAGGCACAGGGCCAGCCGGCGCCCCTGCGCCCACGGGATATTTGTGTGTCGGCTCCCACGGGCAGCGGCAAGACCCTGGCCTTTGCCATACCCATTGTCCAGCTGCTGAACAACCGAGTACGTTGCAAGGTGCGCGCTCTGGTGGTGCTGCCAGTGGCCGAGCTGGCGCTGCAGGTCTTCAAGGTGATTCGTGCGTTGTGCAGCAAAACGGAGCTAGAGGTCTGCCTCCTTTCTAAGCAGCACCGCCTGGAGGACGAGCAGGAGAAGCTGGTGGAGGTCTACAAAGGACAGATCTACAGCAAGGCTGACATTGTGGTCACAACACCAGGTGGGGGATTCGGAGTCAATCTTAAGAGCATCTTTTATTGTTCATCTCTCGCTTTGCAGGTCGTCTGGTGGATCATCTGCATGCCACCAAGGGTTTCTGCCTGAAGAGCTTGAAGTTTCTGGTCATTGACGAGGCGGATCGCATCATGGATGCCTTCTTCCAGAACTGGCTCTACCATTTGGACAACCATGTGCGGGAGACCGCAAATCAGCTGCTGGCTGGCACACAGCCTCCACTTTGCCTTAAAGAGCTATATGCCACTTATGGGAAGGTGCCCCATAAGCTATTATTCTCTGCAACGATGTCGCAGGATCCCGAGAAGCTGCAGAATCTGAGACTCTTTCAGCCCAAGCTCTTTACCACGGTGTTTGCCCTGCCCGTTCCCAGGAGTGAGGAGCAGGCGGATGGAGACGAAGAGACCACCCCAAACACTGGACACTTTGCGGGCAAATACACCACTCCGGCGGAGCTGACAGAGCAATTCTGTGTGACGGAGCTGCGCATCAAGCCGCTGACACTGTTTGCTCTCGTGGAGAAGTACCAGTGGAAGCGATTCCTCTGCTTCACCAACAGCACGGAGACGGCCAATCGATTGGCTTTTGTGATGGGCAAACTCTTCTCCACGGGCCCCACCAAAGTGGCCGAGCTATCCGGCAAACTGTCTGCCCTAGTGCGAACCAAGACCCTGACGGACTTTGCCAGAGGCCGCATCAACGGCCTGATCTGCTCCGATGCTTTGGCCCGTGGTATCGATGTGGCCGATGTGGATGTGGTGCTCTCCTACGAGACGCCGCGTCACATCAAGACCTACATCCATCGTGTGGGTCGTACGGCTCGTGCCGGAAGAAAAGGCACAGCCGTCACATTGCTCACGGAACAGGAGCAAGCGCAGTTCAAGAAGATGCTCAACGAAGTGGGCAAGGCGCTGGGCGAGGAGATCAGCGTTTCCGCAGACACTGAGGTCCGTCATGCGGATATCTACAAGCTGGCAATGGAGGATCTGCGCAAGCGACAGGAGAAGGAAAAGACCATAAAGATTGTCCAGAAGCGCCGCGTGGCCCAGCAAACAGTGCTCCACAAAAAGCAAGAGGAAGCTGCCGTCAATCCCAGTCGCCCTCTGACTTTGATGCAAAAGCTACAGCTGAAGGCAGGAGGAGCACGACATGTTGCGGATGAACCCCACCAGAAGGAGAACAAATCGAAACCTACAGCGCAAAAGGGGAAAGGAAAATCAAAGCCCAAGGAGACCAAGAAGCAACGTTTGGCCAAGCAGCGAAAGGCCATCGAGGAGTGAACTTAACCTTAGAAATGATTGTGTATATAGGTCTCTATATTATACGTTATATATGTACCAGTATGTGCTTCTGTATGTGGGTTTTTTCAATTTGTTTGTTGTGTGCTTTAGGCGGGAGCAGTGTCTTATCTCTTTGGGGGCGCTAGTGATTCCCCCGAGGGTTCTTCACCGTGTTGTTTGTTGGTTTACTCTCACTTGAGGGCACAAACGAATTGCGAAAGGCTTTGAATTGTAATTAAGATGGGAATTTAGAGGATACCAGACTTCCATTACTAAAAGTGAGAGTTGAAGGATTAAGGCCATAGATTGAAATGTTTTCCATCGATTCAACCATGCCTCGACATCAAGATATCCCTATAAAACCACACTAATCCAAGGTCCCGACCTTGTAGACCTCTTAAAAATGCGTTATTTATGGACAAATCCTTTATACCTTCTCCTGCAGTGAGTGTATCTCCAGTTTCGACTAGCCATCAGTCCACGAATCTACTATTTAAGCAGCTTCCGAGTGCCAGAAGATCTCACAGTTTAGCGAAAGATCGAAAGAGCAGCAACATACGATGACGACAAACAAGTTTCTGGCAGCTCTAATGGCACTCTGTGCCATAGGTAATCATCAATCAATCTCTGCCATAAGTGTGCTTGGAGATAACCTAATCGTAATCTCTCCCTCCTTTGCAGCTCTCTCCGCTGAGGCCCTGAACATTGAGCCGCGCAGCAGTTGGGGTGCAGTGGCTGCCCGTTCGCCTGCCAGGATAAGTGGCGCCGTTGATTATGTGATCATACATCATTCGGACAATCCCAATGGCTGCAGCACTTCAGATCAGTGCCAGCGAATGATCAAGGCCATACAGACGGACCACAAGGGCAGGCGAAGCTTCAGCGACATTGGCTACAACTTCATTGTCGCCGGCGATGGGAAGGTGTACGAGGGACGAGGCTTTGGCCTGCAGGGCTCCCATGCCCCCAACTATAATCGCAACAGCATTGGCATTGTGTTTATTGGAAACTTTGAGAGCACCAAGCCATCCTCGCAGATGCTGCAGAATGCCAAGGATCTGATTGACAAGGCCAAGCAGGGGGGATACCTAAAGAACACCTACACGCTGCTGGGACATCGCCAGACCAAAGCCACCGCCTGCCCGGGCACGGCGCTCTTCAATGAGATCAAGACATGGCCCAACTGGAGGAGCATTTAAGAGGGGACTCTCATTAGTTCTTTATTAGTTTTAAGTTTTCTGCTAGAATACATTTTGTACAAAGAGAAGCACTCGGATCTCTCTATTCTATGGCTTTGGCTGCCAACGCGGCCACTTGCGTAGTTCGTCCAGGAGCTGCCGCCCTGGGCAGGCAGTGGCCTTCGTCTGGCAGTGGCCGACGAGGGAATAATTGGGCAGGACCTGACGCCGCTGGACTGCAATTGTGATGAGTGTCCGGGCTGCCTGTAACATCTGTGGTGAGGGCAGGGTGCCTACAGGAAGGAGAAGAAGGAGTATCAGAGATTAGCGAGAGTCTCAATGGGAAGAACCGATCCCCACGTACGCTGGAAATTCCCAATGAATGCCACGCCTATCGACTGGCTGTTGTAGTGCGGTGAATGCTCTCCGCGAATGCCAAAGCCCAGGCCCTCGTAGATGCGTCCATCGCCGCCAATCAGGAAATTGTAGCCGATATCCCGGAACTTTCTCAGCAGATGCCCCGTTCGGATCTGCTGGAGGGCCGCCTGGCATTGCTGGGGCGTGTAGCAGGGCGCACTGGCCGTATGATGGATGATGATCAGGCGCACGGGCACCGCAAGACGTGGCATGCGAGGGGACAAGGGCTGCCGGCACCAGGCTTGCCGGGGGACAATCTGAGCAAAGGCACAGCCAGCGAAGGAGAGCAGAAGAAGGAGTGGGAGCTTCATGGTTGCTTCTTCATTGATTGATGGAAACGGGAATCGTTGCTCTATTTATACGCGTAGTAGTACGCTCCCCAAAAGATTCGATTCCCTTTTGTTGATTCAGCTGCTGCTTTCAATTGCTTGGCAGCTGCCTTCAGTGGTTTCAACAAAATGCAGACCCCGAAGCTTTTGTCTTCGTGTGGATTCCGCTTGCGTCATCGTCATCCCTTTCAGAGCCCATCTATAATCGAAAGGTTTTTGCATTACAAAGCTGCCCTTGGGCGGCCGATCGGTGGGTAGTGGCCCAAACATGGCAGCCGATCCCCCTAAAAGGGCAACTGCATTTGAAATTCAAATCCATCGAGCGATGCACTGTGCAGTGGGTGGTATAAAAGCCGCTTGGTTGAGGCACGAGTGGACAGTGACCAGCGATCGAGTGGCCCAGGCAGTTCCTCCATCTCACAAAACACACCATGAAGATCGTAAGTTGGAATGATATATCGAAAAGATCTCGCCCCGATCTACCTCCTTATCTATTCTGTTTCAGCAATTGGTATCCATTTTGGGGTATCTCCTGGTGGGATGTGCTGCCCTCTCCGGGGCCAGCTTTGTTCCTGCCACTACTCTGGGGGTTCCCGCTGCAGTGGCTCCCGCACTGGTGCCACCTCCCACCAGCTATCAGTTTGTGGCACGCAATTGGAATCGTTTCTATGTGCCAACAACCACTGGTGTGGCCACCTATCACCCACCAGCCACAACGTACTACAAGTACAGTGGTGGCTATCCAGCGTATCCAGCATATCCTTCTGTCTATCCGTCGGCCTATCCCTCGGTCTATCCTGCGGCATATCCCTATGGCTATGGCTATTATGGCCCCAACTATAATTATGGCCATGGCTACAAGAGTATCTGGTGATCATCGAGGAAGCATTCATTGATAATATTGTGATAATATTCAACACCAAATCAACGTATTATAATACAAATATACGAGTATAACCCATCTATTACACCCCATACGAGTGATGACTGTACTGTTGGCCAAGGGCCAGAAAGCCGCGACCAAACCAAAGGCAAACGTGGGCCTGCTCTTGACACCATTGTGGAATGTGGTTAACCATTTTGTACTTTTATTTCTTACGGGGGAAATCTATGAAATGGAAATGAGTTTTACCAGGTTAAAAGAAGAATGGGCCTGGAGCAATCAATCGTGCGGGCTGGATCGAGAATCGAGAAGCTGGAAATGGTGGAGCATTCAGAGCAGCAACTCCCGCAGGACCAGCGGCCAGGAGACGTCCGGCAGCAGGCGGACCGAAGGCGGCATTGAACTGATTGAAGTAATCCAAACGCTGACTGCTAGAGACAGCCAAAGGAGCAGCACCCAGAGGAGCATTAACCAAAGGAGCAGCACCACCAAATGGAGCCCCAGGAAAAGCAGCGGCTCCAAAGGGGACACCAACAAAGGAAGCGGCGCCACCAAACGGTCCATTCGTGTAGGCAGCAAAGGGAGCAGCAGCAGATCCAGGAAACACGCCAAACGGAGAGCCAGACGCTGCGGGAAACACTGCAGGACCCACGGCTGGCATTGCTCCGGCACAGGCCACCATCAAACCCAGCGACAGAATCACCAACTGTTGAGGCAGAAAAGGAGGCCTTTAAGTTCTAGCCGGTGGATTCCGATGACAAAATCCAACTCACCATTTGCTGCATTTTGATTTACTTCTTCTGCGTCTGTGAGCACGAACTGAATTATGTCTGGGACTCAATCGATGGCTCGGTTTTATAGTTGGCCAGAGCTTCAGACCGCGGAGGAGACCAGAGAGCTGGCTAATTGCCGCTCCAAATTGTCACACATTTGGCTACGAAAATGGGCCCAAAATTACATACATGCCCTGGCAAAGAGGTAACAAAATTTGCATACGATCTGATATGGCTATACGCGTTGTGTTACGACATTCGGATGTGGATTTGCACAGATATTGGGGTTTGTGGGTGAACAAAGATATGGTGTGAAAAGTGTGAGAATTATCAGAAAGATGTGCAAGAGACTTTTCATTCATTCCTGAATCAATCAGAATATTATGTAAATTCTAAATAACTAGCTGAGCGGGAAAAGCATTTGCCACAGCACTATTGCCGTGAACTATTCGGATTCATGAATTTAATGAGCGCATGATTTCAGGAGCAGATTTGAATCTGGATCTGTGCCAATGAGCAAGCCATTCAACGGTTCCGGGGGTGTCTCAATTATAGCTAGCTGTACTTTTTCCCGATGTACTTTATACCACGTTGTGACTTAGTTTGAATTTAAGCGCACGACAATGTTAATATTCCTGGTCCACAGCACTAATCATTAATTTTGAATGAGCGGAATATTCAATATCTGGTTCGAACTCGAATGGGAGACGAAGAAAAGAAGTGGGTTTAAATACTCGATGTATTTGTTGGCGTTATCCAATCCTCCGTTCGCAATTGTCTTTGTTGCTTTCGTTCACCTCGTGCCTTTTATGATTGAGATTCACCCAATTGCGACATGCTCACACGCACATTTTTGGTATCTTGTTGGATTCGTTCGCATGTTCTTTCTGCTCTACCATTTCGCATGTTTCTTGCTTTATTCGTTCAACCACAAACACCAGGACAGGAGATTCTTCTGTATGAGATACGATGCTTTGAGCCTCGCTGGAACTATGTGGATCCCTGAGGGAATTCAATGATTTGTATCTTGAGATCTTCTAGCTATTTCTACAGAAACGAAAAACGCAAAGGAACTTGAAAAGTACAAGGAACTATTAGAAAGATACTACGAGAATATTTGATACTCTTTCGTTTCTTCTAAGGGAATTATCGTAAGTGGCTTCTACTCGTATGATCTTCCATAAGTTTAATAGAAATCATCCATCAATGTAAATGTCTAACGATTCTACAATCCTGATAGCGCTTATCCGAATCATTGTCGCGTGACATGCCACAGTGCCCCTCGGTCGGGATACGCAGTAGCAAGTGTTGGCTTCTCACCAATTCAATAGATACATTTAGACGCAGTAGAGAGGTTGATAATAATAATAACTATTGTATTCGTATAATTGCATTACATATAAGTATGTATTAATATTAATATTAATATTAATTATGGTTTAGTATAATATGTACGATATAGCTGCTTAGTGGTTCCTGGGGGGAAGGACTTGCTTGATCGTTCAGTTTGTTGTCAGTTTGTTCGTTCAGTTACGTATAAATATGTGTGTGTATATATGTATGTAGGATATCATATATTAAAAAAAACCCTTCTGATGTGACAAATCGAGTGGACATCAAACTAATTTTAGTCGTTTGTTAGTTATTTAACTAGACACTCAATCGAATCATACGATTTATACATATATGTACGAGTATGATGTATAGGATCGTATTATTTCTATATCCTATATGCACTTTGGATAAACTTTATACGAAGGGGAGGGGGCTAAGGGGGATTAAAGGTTTAACGGCTAGACATTTAGCATAGGCATTTGTTTAGTTGCTTTTCGTTAGTAAATCCATCGATTTATTGATGATTAAAGTGCCTCCTCTGAGTATTCTGCAATTTGTTCGCTTTTTGTTGGAGGGGGAGGGGCGTAGGGGCGGTTGTTTTTGGGAGGAGTAACATTAACAAACGTTTTCGTTTCTTATATACAATCTCTGGCGGGGCATGGGGGCCCGGGGCATGGGGAGTGAGCCTCAAAGCATAATCCCTAGAGGGAAGGGAAAGACTCTAGCGAGATTACAATATTTCTGTATGGCAATTGGGAGTTTTTTGACTAGATATATAGCATGTGTGTGTGTGTGTGTGTGTGTGTGCGCGGATAGATATATCGTTACTGGCGATGCTCCTACTCCTCCCTCTACTCCTCCTCCTCCTCCTACCACAGCACATCGTAGTCGAGGACATGCTCCGAGGAGGCAATAATCATCACCTTTACAATATCATCCACGGCACGGGTTACCCTCCACTTTTTGGGATTCCTCAGCACTTGCAATGGCGTGGGCTTGCTTTTGGGCGGATCCTCCTTGGGCTCATGCTCATGCCAGGGACTCGTCGAAGTGGCTGTCGTCTTCATCTCCGGCAGGGAAGGCATACCTCGGCGTAGGGCATTGAGGCGCTGCTCCTGGTAGTAATTGTTGAGATTCGTTAGGTAGCAAAAGTCCGAGTCATTGACCACATCGATCTCTGCATAATTGTGACCATCGATGCTGTCCCGCTCTGGCTCTCGCTCCCGCTCCCGCTCCTGCTCCTGCTCCTGCTCCACGCCAAGTCCCAGACCCAAGCCTGGTCCCATCTTCGGGGCCGTGGCCTGGGCAAAGAGTTGATCAAATCACATATTTTCATCGAATTTCGCAAAGTTCTCATTCTCGTTCCATTGGAATTTATTGTTCGCAGTGGCTGCGGCCTCTCCATCATTGTCCTTCTGCTGGTCCTGGTCGGGTGACTTGAAGAACTCATCATCCTCGAAGGGATCCTCTTGCTTTTTGGCAAATATATTAACAGATTCCGATTTCTTGATGAGCTCCTGCCGCTGTTGCAGCTTTGTGGTGCGCATATTTTGTTTTCTGGTCAAAGCAACAGATCCTCCAGCGGCTGCTGTGGCGCCACCTCCTCCTGCACTCGTCTGCTCCTTTTCAAAGTCAAACGAGGCCTTGGCAAAATCATCCTCGAAGGCAGCATCATCGAACTGCGAGATCTTGACATTATCATCGAATCGCAGCTTTTGGGTTATGGGTGGCGTTGAGGTCGCCGGTGGATCCATCTCAAAGTGCTCCCTCTTCTCGCCGCCCTTCTCCGAAAAGTCATTGGAGAAGCGAAACAGAGACTTGGAGCCGCCACTGGCCACGCTGCCACCCGAGATGGGGCCCGCGGGCGTTGAATTACAGCTGGAGGCCGTGCCAGCGGGCGCTGGCGGTGGGGAGCTCTGGTTGAAGTCCGATTCGAAGCCATCGTCAAAGTTAAACTTGCCACCGCCAACGCCTGCAGAGGACTCCCCGCCGCTGCCCAGCATGCCGCTGCTCATCAATCCGGCGGGCGTGCTGCTGGCATTCGATCGGGGCGTCGGTGTGGGCGTCTGCTCGTAGCTATCCACAAAGCCATAGTCACTGTTGACCCCCGGGGGGGCTACGGCTCCTCCGCCGCCGCGAGAACGATTCTGCGTTGACTGCAGCTTCGACAGCGTGGGATGTCGCTCCATTTGACGGCGCTCGCTCTCCAGCATTCGCTGGTGCATCTCGTGGCGCCTGCGATTCAATCGCTCGAACTTATCCTCATCCGTGGGCGGCTCATCATCCGCATAATCCTCATCGTCATCATCGTCGTCGTCGGCCACATCGTCGTCGTCCACATCCACATCTTTGCGCTGCTGCATCTGCTTCTGCAGCTGCTGCTGATGGCTGCTCATATAATCGTAGTTATCCCGAATGCCACGCCCACTGCCGCCCACATAGCGAGGGGGTGGGGGATTCACAATCGAGGAGGAGCCAGAGCCAGGGCCAGGGCCGCCAACAGAGGCCAAGTCTTTGGCACTGCGTGCACGAGTTTTCTTGCGGAATCTAAAGGGGGATAGAATAAGATGTTTTTAGGCCTTCTCTCTCTCTCTCTCTCTGTCTGTCTCTGTCTTGTTACCTTCTCTCTTTTTCCCCATCGGAGGGCGTCTGTCCCAAGGCCACGGCCCGACGACTCTCCGCCAGACGTCGCTCTGTCTCGGCAGCACTTGCCGGACGCTTCCAGGACTTTTGGCCAGGCAAAGCAGGTTCTGCAAAATGAAAATTAAACGATTTTATGAGACCCGATGAACGAAAGCTTTGGGGAAGGGACGTACCCTCGCCATCCCAGGGACTGGAGCCACTGCTCTTGCGCAGTCGCTGGGAACCGCCAACGCCGCCGCCTCCTCCTCCGCCGATGGGCAGCACCACGTCGGCTCCCAGCTGACTGGGACGCTGCAGACTCCTCACCGATGCCCGCTCGCGCTGCTGGAAATCCTGCTCCGAATCCTGTTCGTAGTCAATGTCCCCGCTGATGCGTAGCTTCCCCGAGGTGGTGGTGGGCTTCCTCAGGGAACGCGTCTTCATTTGCTCGCGATCCCGTTCGCCCCTGTCGCGCTCTCGGTCCACGCCGCCGCGATACTCGTCGCGGCTGTCGAGGCTTCCATAGACATCGTTGCCGCTGCCAAAGCTACGTCTGCGCCGCGTGGCGCTCTCGAAGGACTCCAGGCTCTCGCGATCGAAGGACTTGCGATCCCTGTCCCTGTCCCGCTCCCTCTCCCTCTCGTACAGATAGTCGCCTCCTCCTCCGCCGCGGCCACTCGACTTGTAGGCCATGGGCGAGCGTCCACCGCGCTGCTCCTCGTACACGTTCTCGTAGTCAAAGTCGTAGCTGGGACGCGCATAGTCCCTGTACTCGCGCTCCCTCTCGCGCTCTCGATCGCGGTCTCGCTCTCGCTCCCCCCGATACTTGCTCCGCAGCTGCTGCTGCTGCTGCTGTCCGCCCCGCTTGTCCGCGTACATGGGCGGCCCATAGCTGGAGCGCTCGTAGGCGCTGCGCTCAAACGATCGGCCACTCGATCGCACTCCTTGTTCGATTTCCTGCGGCGACCAGGTGTGATGTGTGGGATGGTGATACCAACTGGGGGAATCTATAAGGGGAGGGGAGAGGAGCGGAAAAGGTTAAGGAGGATACAGGAAGAACCCTCACAGACGGAGACTCACCCAGATCAAAGTTATCCCTGCTGCGGGAGAGGCCATGCTTGAACTTCCTTTGCTGCAGCTGCTCTCTTTCCCTGCGGGCCATCAGCTCTGCATCGTAGCTGTGCCAAAGAAAAGGAAAAGGAGTAGGAGATTTAATCAGTAATCCGCAAGGAAAAGGCATCGATTGCCCCGCACTCACTCGTAATCCTCATCGCAGGAGTTCATTCTTCTGGCATGCCTCATATAGTAACCATGACGATCCGTCTGCGGCTGTACCTGCGGATGTGGCATTTGCTGCCGTCTCTTCAGATACTCTGGCGTCTCGTCGTCCCAAGGACTCAGATCCCTCGACGAGGACGAAGTCTGGTGGCGCTCCTTCTTGGCCCAACGGCGCTGCTGCTTCGACCAGCCGTCATCGCGGGGATCCGAGCTGCACGGCGACTCTGCGGTGTCCTGCTGCGAGGTATTGGAGGCAGGCGGCGGCGGCGGTGGCAGCGTGAGGCGTGCCTTGCCTTTGCCCGTGGCCTTGGGGGAGTCAAAGGTGGCCCACGATTGTTTCTCTCTTTCGCGATCGCGATCGCGCTCGCGTTCTCGTTCGCTCATCATCTGCTTGGTGGCGGTGTCTATCAGCTGAGAGACGGCCGACAGATGCGATGGCACTGGCGAGGGCTGCAGTGCAGCTGGCGATTGTGATTTCTGTAGCGGAATGGGCGAAGTGCTGACATCGTTGAACTGCTGCTGCGAGGGCGTGTGCACGCCCAGACTCTGCGCTCCTCTGGAGGGTGCCGCCGAGGAGGTGGCCGGAGAGAGGCGCTCCCGCGAGTCCAGCGACAGATTGGAGATGGCGCGATGCATCAGCTCATCGATTTCAATGTCATCTTTCGCACTGCCACTGCCACTGCCGCCTCCCGGGGGGGCCGTCAGCACAGACAGGAACTTGTGATCCTGCTTGGGACAGCGGAGAGGCAGCGGCACGGAGGAGGATTCCTCCTCCAAAAGAGAAGCGGGAACCACTGCATCCAGCTGCTGTGTGGAGGTGGACAGCTTCTCGTACTGATCCTGTCCGCTCACCGGCTCCTCCCCGTCCTTTTCGTTGCTGTCCATGCTGCTCTCTCCCCCCGCATCTGCATCCTCGTCCTCGTCATCGTCGTCCACGGTCAGGGCAGAGGACGAGGGCTCTGCGGGGAAGCCGCGACTGTCCACAAGGCCGTGCCGATCCTGCGGATGCTGCTGCTCGGCGAGTGGCAGGTCCATGATCTGCCGCAGGTCCTGGTCCTCGTTGAATTCGTCACTGAATTCGGGAAAGTCCTGCAGCAGATCCTTCTCCGGCGGTGCCTTGGGGGCCTGCGCCTGCGCCGGCGGCTGCGGCTTGTCGAAGAGATTCTCCACCAGAATGATGTCCCTGAGGGCCGCGTAGCGATCCTTGGCCTGGGCCACCACTTCGGTGATTTTTGTGTCGATCTTTGGCAGCGGCGGCGGCGGGGCAGACGGTGGCGCGGTTCTCGTGCCAATGGAATCGATCAGCGGAATCTCCGTGTGCGCCTCCAAGCCCAGGCCCAGGGAGGACGCCTCTGGCGCCGCCTCCTGCTCGTCGACGGGCGGCGGCGTGAGATCCCCCATGAGATCCGTTTCCTGCTGCTGCTGTTGCAGCTCCTGGTCGATGATCTCGCGAAAGACCGCATAGCGATCCGCCGAGGGCACAGCCACCGCTGCAGCCGCCGCCGGTATCGGAGCCTCGTTGAAATTCGCAAAGTTCGCCTCAAAAATGGGCGCCTCCTTGGGCGGCGAGGCCACTCGCGCCGTTGCCTCGTCCTCGCCGAAGGTGTCGTCAAAGGAGGCCACAAAGGATGTTTGCTGATCGAAGCTCACCTTGAAGACCGCCGCAGAGGAGGAGGCTGTGGCACTGGCGGCGGCGGCGACTGTGGCTGCTGGTGGGGCGACAGGAGCCGGAGCCGCGGGGGCGGCCAGGGATTGGCTGGTCTTCTCGCTGGACGACAAGTACTCCGACAGGTAGGACGTCAGCTGCACAAGGGTCATTGTGCTCAGCTTTGTGGCGGGAACATTCAGCTTCACGGCCAGATCATCCATGCCCAAAGTGAGCAACTGCGTCAGCGTGATGTCAGGAGCCAGAGCGGGGCCTGCCGGGCCCTCGTGGGCTACTGCCTGCGCCAGGATCTCCGCCTTGTTCTCGTAAATGTCCTGCGGCCTTCCCAGCGATTGCTGCCGCTGGGGACGCGCCCTGGCCGTGGACGATGCCGCTGCCGATGATGCCTGATTCGGAGGCGGCAGCAGGGGTGGCGGCGGTCCGAGCGGCATCATATAGTCATCCTCCGTCTGATGGGGCTTTCTTGGGCGGCCGGGACCCGGAAAGCAGGCATCCGTGCGTCCCACGCGACGCGAGGGCAATGGAATCGGCGGCGCGTCCGGCAGAGAGTGCGCGAGGGTGCGTCGCGTCGAAGAGGAACTGCTGTTCAGATACTCATACCGACCGGCAGTCGGCGGAGCGGGACTCGGCCGGATCACGAGGTCGCTGAACTGTTTCTTGGGCGGCAGAGGCGGTGGCCCAGAACAGGGGGCCGAGTCCGGACGAGGCGGTGGCTCCGGGGCAGCCTCCGTTTCGCTGAGGGAATCGCTCTCCTGCAGGCGCCGCATATTGACGCTGGAGCCGATCTCCGAGGAGGAGGAGTCGCCGCGCTTGGAGAAGCCCCTCGCCTGGCCAAACAGATGCGGCATCTTCTTGTTGCTGATGCTGGAGATGACATCCAGGGGTCCCCCTCCTCCGCCTCCGCCCAGAGGATTGGGCAGCGAGGAGGCGGAGACAGTGGGCCGATTCCTCACGGTGCTCATCTGCTGCTCCCCTTTCTCCGGGGGAAGCTGCACTTGAAGCGGTCCATTAAAAGCGTTGCTCCTGGCCCCATCGGGTGCAACTGGGACTGCGGCGGCCACTGCCACTGCCACGGGGGCAGGTGCATCGAACTCGAAGGCATCCAGCTTGGCGAAGAGATCACCCTCCTGGAAGGGATCCGGGTCGCTCTTCTTGCGCGTCGGCGAGAAGGGATCGGTGTCGCGGGGCAGCAGCACCGGATTCGCCGTCTCCTGACGATCCTCCAGCGTCGTCGTCGCGTTGATGGAGGACGGCAGCGGTTCTGTGGTATAATAGGTGGACCCACAGGTGGGGGGATAAGTGGGTATTGGCGGTGGTGGTGGATTAGTGAGGGGCGATCTTCTAAGCAAAAGTTTCAGCTTTGCGGACGAAAAGTCTTCGGCGCTGGCGGATAAAATGGGAAAAGATAGAGCGGACGTGGGAATGGGAGCAGGAATGGAGGTGGGATTGGTTGCGGGTGTGGCTGTGGGTGCGGGAACGGGAGCGGAAGCGGCGCTGGAGCTGGTTAGTAGCAGGTGGTGATGGTGGTGCTGCTGGTGGCTGCCGCCCAAGCGGACGCTGGTGGCTGCAGCGGTGGTTAGTAGCGGATCGGAATTCCCTGCGGCGGTGCAAGTGCATTGATTAGAGTTATTCTGTGACTGTGACTGTGGCTGTGGCTGTGACTGTGGCTGTGACTGTGGCTGTGCCTGTGACTGTTGCTGGTGCGGTGGATCGGTGGTGGTGGTGGTGGTGGTGGTGGTGGTGGTAGTGTTGGATGCTAGTGTTTGATGGTGGTGGTGTTGGTTAGTACCTGCTGTGATGTTAGTAGCTGCTGTGGTGGTGGTCATGGTAGCGATGGTAGTGGTGCTGCTGGCACCACCCGCACCCGCACCCGAACCCGTCTCCTCTTCCGTGGAAAAGAGACTGCCGGTGTCCAAACCCAAACCGACGGCACCCGCACCACTGAGCTCCTTGAGCAGCTTCTTGGGTGGATTCTTAAGCTCTTGGAAGAAGTATTTCTTATCGACATACGGCCGGGTGCGACCGGTGCCCAGCGGATCCAGATCCGTGAATGCATCTGCAGCAGTAGCATAATGGAATAACACAGAGAAAACGGATGGAATACAGACAGAGGCAGAGAGAGTGCATCTCGAATGCACTGGGAGGCACGAGACGCCTCCTCCTCCTCCTCCCCGAATGGAAGAAGGCAGACAAATCATAATCTTTGAGAGGGGAAGATCTACGGTGTCGGAAAACAAAATCAAAAAAGTGGTTTGGGAACACAAAAGATCTATGAAAAGAAATCACAGAGAAGGAAACTCTATCCTGCCTCTTCTACTGTACGGTTTTAGGTTAGTTTTGGCGGGATACAAGGATACTCGTATGGAGCCACGGAAAGAGCTGCCTGTGCGACGATAGTGGAGATAAAAGGTATCATATATGTATGTGTACAGGCTAAAAGGAGGAAAGAAGAACTTAAACCAAGGATTTCAATCATTTTTGAATACATCTGTGAACGAAACAAAGGCCTGGGAAGAACCTAAACTAAAGATTTCGATCAATTCTTTGTGGTTCGAGAATCGTACATCTCTGATCTATGAAATGCATCTTTTTGACAGAGAGACAGAGAAAAGGCGACAGATCTAACCTTTAACCTACTCTACGAAAAACCTAAAGTTAAATCCGATCTATGGGGAAGAGAAAAGCTGCCAGACGCACTGCAGCCCATAGATTAAGTTTCAGTTCAATTGATTTGACCCTTGAATTCTTTCCGATTGTGGCGTTCCCTTTTGTGGCGGCATGCCATCGCTTGCGAGTACAGCTTCTGCCCATTACAGCCACTCCCATCGTGCCTCACAGACAGCTCTTTCATCACTTTCAATGGGGATGACGACATACAAATCCTACAACAAAGCAGAGGAGAGACACTCTCCTCTCCTCTCGCTCTCTCTCTCTCTCTTCTCTCTTTTGGGACTCACCCAGCGACATGATTGCTGGCTCCTCTGCTGTTGCTGTGGCCGTAAGGCCCGCCAGTCCGCCCATGTCGAGATCCGCCAGAGATGCAGCTGCCGTAGCGGACATTTCCGTCAACTGTTGCGTGGGCGTGGCCGTGGATTCGCTGGCCGCCAGAGGAGCCATCGACAGGACAGCGGCCACCACATTGGTGGTGTCAAAGACATCGTTCTGCTGGTCCAACTCGTGCAGCCAGCTGTCGTCGTCATTGTCCACGCCAGAGGCCTGACTGGCAACGCCCGGGGCTGGGGAGGAACGCACCCCGGCAGGAGGAGGCGAGAGGATGGCATCCAGAGCGGCAGCAGACTCGGGTGTCTTCTGGGGCTTGTGTCGGTTGCGGCCCGATTCGGGCGGCGGCGGCAAGATGCTGTACGATGGCACACAGATGAAGGAGTCCCCGAAGGGATCGTCCTCGCTGGCGGATTTGGCCAGGCTGCCGGGATGCCCGCCGCCGACGACGCCACCTCCGCCGCTGGAGGGATGGTGCATGCCCGGCTCGCTGGGCGTAATCCTCTCCATTTGGGTGATGCCGCGCTGCAGGGAGGTCAACTCCTGCTCCAGATCCACCAGATCCGCCACAGATTCGGGAGAGATCTACAAGAGCGAGGCGGATTAGTAGAGATCATGGACATATGGAGTGGTTACTTCTTTGGCTGCTGCTCCCGAGGTCTTGGCCACGTCCAGATTGACGCCCAGCCGCGCGGTTCCATTCGAGTAGGCATCCTGACCGCAGAGGGAGCTCAGGGTGAGGGAGTGGCCGCCACTGGCGAGATCTGCATGACCCGCTGCTCCAGCTCTCAGTGCGGATAAGGAGGCCAGCTGGCTGGCGTGCTCATGCAGGGACTTGCCCTGGATCTGCTGGCGGGCCATCTCGATCTCCTTCTTCTTCAGCTCGAAGACAACCTGAAAGAGGTCGCGCATGGCCAGCACCACCTGGCTGGCCGCCTTGTCCGTCTTGATGCCAAAGAACCGATGCCCGCTGTCCGGCGAGCCAAAGATGTAGCCGAAGGCCCGCGAATCGGTCATGTCCTGGGCGATGAAGGATATCTTGTGCACCGGATGGTGATACAGCGAGTCGCCTGTTTTCTCGTCCCGCAGCCTCAGCCCGTCGATCGTCACATGGATGGTTATCCGCTGCTTGTGCTCCCCCGCCGCACGGATGGCCATCTTGAGGTCCTGCAACGCCTCCTGGCACATACGATCGCCCCGGGCCTCGCCCACTTCCAATATTCCAATGAGTTTGGCCTTGAATTGAACGCCATCGCCGAAAAATCGTCCCGGATCATTGCGATCTGGAAAATAGAATGCGCACAAGCGTATACATATATAAGTCACGTGTGTGTGTGTGTGTGTGTGTATGCGATTCAGATTTTTGTTTGCTTTTTTTTTGCGCTAACGTTTTGCGTAATTTGTTTCCTCTGCCGCGCTGCTGCTGTGGCTGCTGCCGACGCCGAAGGTGCTGGCCAGAGAGAGATTCGAGGAGGCTGTCGACAGCTTGGAAACCAGAGATTTGACCATCTTCTCGGATCGAATCCTGAAGGAATCGCTGATCGCACACTAACACAGCCTCACAGTCTTAGCCAGAATCTGCACGTTCGTGTGATATTCCATGGCCCACACACACACGAAATCAAGAGCGGGAAGAATGGAATTGGACGGGACGGACGGGTGCACACAATGATTTTTCGCGACTTTATGTATGTTGTTGCCATACAATTAATTAAATTCAAAAAAAACAACAATATAAAAAAAAAACAAGAGACAACAAATAATGACGACACACACACACAGAGGCAAACGAGAAGCACCCGCCGCTACCGAAAACGATCCGTGATCATGGAATGAATGAAAGCGATTGAGAGAGCGCTGCCCAGCCGCTGTTGTTGCTTTTGGACTTTTGCCGCAATTTGTTTAACAAATAAACAAACACAAATTTCACTCTATTATTTTGTGATTCTCATTCAGAATGATAAAAAAACACGACAGTCTCTCAGTGTCACTCGGACGCTCTCTTTGTTGTTGTCTTGAGCATCGGCTACCACCTGCCAAGGTGCAGTCAAAAAAGGTGAGGCTCAGTCACGGTCTCCTGGGGTGCCTAATTTGGCTTGGCACTCCAATGGCCGGCTATTTTGAGAGCCCACTCTGGCAATGACGCACCCTAGGTAGAACACACCTTGCACCTACCGAGAACATTGACGGCGCAGCAGCTGCCAGGGGGACTAGGCACGTTCAAGCCGATCGATCATTCATGATCACAAGCACCATTCTCCCGTTGAGTTTTTAAAAGTTATACACTCGGGACTACTCACATTTACAAGGACTCGTTTTCTTGCGCAGCGTCTGCATGGTGCTCACAAAAAGCAGATTGGCATTCGGAAGACGTCTAATGCTGATGATTGTGCCTGCTCCTTGCTAATAGGAGGGGTGAGGAATTTGAATCTTCTTCTTCCGTTCGTTACTTTCCTATCGAACGCAACTGTAAAGCTCTCGTTCTCTTTGTTTACACTTGTATTAATCGTATCCTTTGCTCTCGCACGTTTTGTTGTTATTGTGCCACTCGGCCGATACTACGCGCCGGCATTTAATCGTAGTACACACACACGAACACGTACAAGCCTCCCTCCCACCTAGCCACCCACACAAACACCGAATGTGATTATTGATTTTTCAATTGTGTGGGTGTTTTCATTTTCACTTTGCCTACTTTAAGGCGTCGCTAAAGTCCTGTAAAGCATACATAATGGTAGCATGATTTTTAAATTTGAGTTCTCCCCACTAATTGGAAAATGTCCCTGTCTAACCACAAAAATTCGCCAGAGAACAAAGACACACTGAAACACTTTCGTTTTTGCTGGTGAAAACCACACTTTTTGAGATATTTCCACTAGGAACCTTAAGCACACACTCCCGGCTTACTAACTAATCATTTGCTTTAAAGAATTCGCTTAAAAGAAAATTTATTCACTCCTACGCCCTGGAAGCAGGAGCAAAGGAACACACAACACACACCAAAAACAAAATTCGACTGTAAGGATACCACCGTAGGGTAAAGGTGGGTGGGCGGAGGGTGGTTGTTTTAGGGTGCTTTCTAACCCGATATCGATATCTAGTTATCGATGAGTCAGTATCGACTCGACATCTGACAAAGGCTCGCCGCCACATGTAAGTTATCGGTTCATCAATTGACAAAATCTGAAATGCATAAATGATCGATAAAACTATCATTAAATAATCGGGTGGCCACATGAGCCCAGAATCGAGCAGCAATGTCCCTCAACATGGCGGATCGAGCAACATTCTGCATACCCTAGGGAAGGGATATTATAGAATTGAGGAAGTGTTTGTCATCTAAGACGTCAATATGCTCTGTCTTAAAGCTATTAAAATTTATTGTCTCTTTATAGATATGGGACCAGTGTATATACAGGAAACCAATCAAATGCATGAATGGTTCTTGTAATATTCCACGGAATATCAAAATTGAGGAATATGAATAATTCGTGAGTATATTTTCAAAATGAGACCGTATATTTCGGTATTTATTTGAATCGGATCGGTAATAGCCGGTTGACAACAATCCTGGGGGAAATGAGTGCTATAGAATTGAGAAAATTTCTGTCATCCTAGCCTCCAAATAAGGCAAGAACAACTTAGTCTCTGTTTTAAATATCACAACGATATTTTGGAGTTTATTGTATTCTTACAGAGACAGGAATAGGCATCAGGATTGAGATATATGTACATATGTATATATGCTAGATACCAATCATATTCATTAATATGTCTAAAACATATCAATTTGAGAAAAGGTCTTTATAAATTACGTTTTATCTTCATATAAAATTAACGAAATATGGTATACAAAGGTATGCGCGCATCATGTCTTCAAGTACCAGCAACATTGCGGCTGTTTTTTTGTTGAACTATTTTGTTTATGCCTTGTTTCAGCCAAAATACAATAAAAGTAACGGCTAACAATGGGCCAATCTTGAAGAAAATTTATTCATCAATGGCATAAAATTATGTGGGCATGGCTAAATGTTCTATTTAGCTGGTAATAGTCGACGGAACAAAGACAACGAGGAATATGTATAACAGAACTTGACTTCGTCAGTATATTTACGGTATATTTTTAAAACGAGAAGGTATATGTCGGTATATTTCTGAGGGTCTTATTCATAAGCGGCGGCCACACTGCTCCCCATTTTTTCCGAACCGTCTCACACTAGAGCTGTCAAACCATCGATAGTGGCGCCACTCGATAGTTTTAAATGAAATGATTTAAAAAATCGAATACTGTCGATAGTATCGGGCTCATATATTAATATTGAAAAAGTCTTTTAACGGCTATTTTTCAAGCATAATTAAATACAAATTGTTCAAAATTAAACGTTTTTATTCATTTTATTCCTTTTCAAAACTCAAAAACTAAGAAATGTTTCATAAATCAGTTTGAAAATATAAATTCATGACGTTTATTTTATAAGATGAGTTCATATTTGTAAGTTCAAATTAAAACGTAAGCAACAAATGTTTCAAACATTAATCTTAGTCTATAGAGATAATTCGTGGTTTTTGCTTATTAGCTAGCTATTATTTGCTAAAATCAGGTTCATTGGTAATCCACCAGTTGTTATTTACAAACAAAAGTTTGTCAACTACTTTTGGCTTGAGAGGGGACCTGCGTTCCGAAATGATCTGCCCAGCTTTGGAAAACATGATTCAGTCGATGTTGCGGGAACTTGTCCATTGTTAACGATGTCAGCATATATATATATACAATATACAAAATCAAAGTAGAGATGGGCAAACGACAGCTACAAGCTCGATAGTATCATGAATAGTAGCAAAACCATCGATAGTAGCGAGTGGCACCAAACCATCGATACTATCTATAGTGCCATCGATGGTTTGACACCTCTATCGTACACTAGTCCAATTGCCACCCATTGCCGCCCAATTGCCGCCCAATTTTTTTTCCGAACGGTCGACCTCGCGGACAGGCGTGAATTTTCCGGTGAATACAAGCAGAAAACAGAAGACACAAGTGCGTCTCTGCGCGCGTCGCTTACCTGCAGCGCAGTCTCAACAGCCGTGGAAACAAACAGCAAAAAGTTGATAAACGCAGAAGCCGTGTGATTTAGGTGTCAAAAAGTTAGTTACAAAGGAAACCAGTTGTGGGAGACATTAGAGATTTGTGACTAGTGTCAGAGCTACGAAAATTTCAGTTTCGATTAATCAGATTTGAGCCTTAAGCCACAACACGAATATTTTTTGTAATTTTTTTTGTTTCATATCCCCTGTAATCGGCGTTGCCGTCGTTGCTACGAGCACCTACCGCCTAGATCGTAATGCAAAATTGAGGGGAAGTTGAGTGGAAGAAACGTGAAAGAGAGCTGTGCAAAATTTCAGAGTTTTCCAGCGGTCCTGTGGCCCCATAGTTCGGTGTAAATAAAAGTGCTTATACATACACACAGCCCCGCAAATCGGTTGCTGGATCGTCGAAAGAAAGAGAAGAGAGGCAGTAGGAGAAGAAGAAGAAGCAGAGCGAGGATTGAAGATGAATAAAACCTGTGCCCGTTGCCAGAAGGTGGTGTACCCCATCGAGGAGCTCAAGTGTCTGGATAAGGTGAGTTTTGTGTTTTGTTCAGTTATTTTCAGTTTTTTAAAGGAAAAATGCATATGTTTCCATTCTATGTTTTTTCCACTATTCCGATGCTGTTGCTCCTTTTGTTTTATGCCGCTGCTTCTTCGCACTTGTTAAGGTGCGGCGAGCGTTAGAGCGAGACGGCTATCTAGCACATGGCGAGCTGGATCTGATCTCTCTGTGCTCTCTCTCTCTCTCGCTCTCTACCCCCCATTGATCATGCGTGCCTTTTGCTCTGTTTTCGGTTTATTATCCTATGAATTCGTAAAAAAAAAAGCTGTTGGTTTGCCTTTCGCTTCTTGGAAATAACGGCACAGCATTCGTGTGCGTGTGTGCTGCTGTCTGTGTGTGTGTGTGGGTGAAGCAACAAATTTATTCGCCAACTCAGGAAATTGAAATTTGCTGCTTCCGCTAGCAGAATTATGCTCTCCCTCTCTCTGGCGCCCTGTTTTGTGATCTTTCTGTTGATTTTCTGCTTCTGCTGCTGCGGCTGCGGCTGCTTGGTCGAAAAAGAGCAACAAAAGCAAATCCGTTGACCGACCTTGAGCGCATATTTTTGAGCGAGTCTTGGGACCAGTTTTGTTTTTTCTTCTACTGCGTTCTCACTCACACTCGAACATGAGGGGGCTTGCTTTCTTTCCCGTCGTACCGCTTATTGGTTTATGCTTAATTCCAGTTTATTTTTATTGAACTGTTGTTTGTATTTCTCTTGAACCACCATCACCCCACCGCCCCGACTCTTCTTCAACATTTCTCGCCCTTGGCTTGTCGGCTGTCGCTGTTCCATGTTTTGTTTAAATTTCGACTCTGCCGCTGATAACGCCGCAACCAGACACAAACATTTACAGAGCACAACCGCAGCGCCGTCTTCCCCCTTTTTTCGAATCCATCTTCAGATTCCAATTGGCATTCCGCCGCCTAGTTCTTGTTGCAATCAGCCGCTGGAACGTGTCAATCTTGAAACTAGCCCCCTCCCGCTCTAACATCCTAATTGTGGGAAAGACACATCTTGTAGAGGGTATGGATGTCTCGATCTACAGGTTTGCTACTGTCTTACCTTTTACTTACATACCTTGAGTCTTTGCGCTACTCTCTGGCTAGAGGCTGGATCTTTACAGCTGCTGCTTGCTCGCTCTCTCCTACCTACATATGTATATACATACATATGTATGTATGTATGAGAGGTACCTCTCCAGCAGATTCTTGTCTTCCTCCCCTTCCCACACGCAGCAGCTTCTAATTATAGACAATGGAGTAATAGAGAAGACGAAATGAAGTCAGTTATAAAATATTTATGCTATTCTGTCTCCGTCTGGTGCGTATGTACTTACGGGTGTGTGTGCGTGTGTTTTGGCTAATGGAAATGTTGAAACCTGTAAATACACAAAACAGCAGACAGGCCGACGGAGGAGATAGTGGGAAAAAGATTGGAAGTAAGTGTAAGAGATAGTGGGATTGGGTTTGGGAGGGGGAGTGGAAGTGGGAGGGGGATAGCTAGACGTGTTTACCTTTACATGAAATTGCATTAGTTTTCTTCTTCTTTTGCAAGACGTTGCGTGTCTTGTTAGGGTGTGTCATGTGCACCCCGATTGCAAAATATTAACGTATGTACACGAGCTCTACTCGTATTTCATAATAATACGTAAAGAAAACGTTGAGCAATAGAAAAGAATAACAAAACGATTGTTTAGCGGGGGAAGGGCAATCAAAGCTTAATTATCATGTGACTTGCTTGCTGTGGGATATTTTTTTTAGCTTTGAATATTAGTCAGAAATCATTAGCTCATCTAAGGCTGGTTTTTATTCAATAATATTAGTATTAAGGCTATTATTTCGAATTATATTCTTTTTTCAAATGAATCACGCTAAACAAAAAAATACGACAAAATTATATTATCGTTATACGGTAGAATCCCCCTAATGCTAGAGAATAGAAAGGGGAAGGGAGAGCGGTGCTGTTTCCATTAGGATTTGCTTTGGTTCCTGTTTCCACTGCTATCTGCACGTGACACATCCTGATATAGAAATCGATACGCCTGACAGCAATAAACGGGCATTTTATACCAATTATCGTATCTCTGGTATCTCTGTCTTCTTTCTACACACACACACATAGACGTACACACAGACGATGTGGCACGCGAATGCATTTGAAAGAAATGGCTTTTTGAAATGTCCCGTTAAAGTTTTGCGGCTCTGTGCCGCCGCATCGCTGCCGGCGCTTTGTTAATCGATTTTTGATACCGAAAAATTAAAAAAAAAAAAAAATAAAATGAAAAGTAGAAAAAGAAGCAGAAGCAAAAGCAGTAAGAGAGAAGTCAACTTGTTCCGTTTGTAGCTGTCGC